AAGTTCGTTTGTTTATGGCTCCAGCACTTCGCTTGAGCTATGCTCCTTCTAGCATAACTAATACTGTTGCTGTTGAGTTCCAGATTTCAGTGTACAATGCGTGTGACTGATGCTCTCATATGGCATAGTTTTTTATTGCAACTGATATCTGTAAATATGTCGTTATTAACAATTATGAGCAGTGTAGGCATCCTTTGTAATGCCTTAGTGGCACTCAGAGAATGGCGAAAATATAATAAATAAATTTCATTTGCAAGTTTCAATGTGCTGCACATTTTAAATATTATGCTGCACATAACAAATGTTTGTATGGAGTATAACTATCCCCGACATAGAGAAAAGTATTTTAGTATATGTATTCTGGAATAACTTTTTGTCTTTTTGCAAACGTATCTCTGAAATATCCTGTCACATGAATTACAAATTTATCTCAGTATCTGTATTTTATGCTTCCAAACCACGCATTTCGATATCTGTATTCCAGAATACTTTTTCGGGCATCTCTGCCCAGCCCTGAGCACACATCCACATGGCCTACAACGAGCTGCCAAATTAGACAAGTTTTTAGCATCTGATAGCATTAGCTCATGCTCTCTTAAGCGCACGTTTATGTAACGCCCCATTTCACCTAAATATTCGCAGCTGCAAGACAGTGGAATCCCATAAACCCCGCCAGTAGTGCAAGGAGCATATCTTTGGACATGACTGGAGATACATTTGTTCCCTTTCTCTGGCTGCTGACACAATGCTCTATCCACCAAAGTACACACATTATGCACTTTATTACGTGCTGAGAATGACATGTTTATGCAATAACAAGCACCAACATTTTTCAAACCATGTGCTATCCTGTGTATGTATGGGATAACTGCCTGCCTCTTTTTCTTGCTGATTTCTGGTGCACTAGAATCGCAACGATAAAACTTCTCGATCTTTGAAATAAGTTTTTCCGACAAGGAACAAATCACGTCACCCGGAAAGCCAGAATTTGCAAGGCGAGCAACTTGTGTATCAAATGCATGCGCCATAAGGTGCTCGCGTAACTTCTGAAAAGCCGCACCCAGCAAAGTTGACGCAATGGCTCCCTGTATGGTTTTGAGTGGCCAGAATTAAAATTCAGAACTGGCTTTCTGAATCTAGGTTGGTATTGCTATATATGTGATCTTTGATGAAAGCTTGTCTTAAATCGAGAAACTGTAGCTCATCAATTTTTTGAAACTCCAAAGTGAAACGCTGACATTTCGTTTTCCTTAACATCTTTCTTTATATTAGCAACCAGTACAGAGCAATTGTTAATGTCCAGTAGAACTAAGAAGTCATGGACATATCAAACAGCATGTGATGATAACCAGTTCAAATGCTTTTGCAGCTGCCCGTCTACATACCCAAGAAAAATATAACTAATTACAGGTGTATTCATGATTCAATGCAGATACCAGATTTTTGGACAAAATTATTTCTCTTCCAAGACACAACGGTAGAATTTAGGTGGCCTACATGAGCTCTAAAAACGACGCAATAGAGATGCCACACTGGCACTGAAACAACAACTCATCATTATCTTCTCTCATGCACTGCTTTATACACTTCAAATCTTCACATTGGGGCAAACAATAATATAAATCTTTTACGTCTATACCGAATGCATTACGGCACAAAGGTTGTTCACTTAGTGATAAGTTGATAGATTCTGAGTTAGCAAATTCTTAGCGGATCACAAGTCTTCAAACGCTCCAAATTTTTTGAATATACTCTGAAACATTTATTTACCAAGTGTCTTTTTCTGAAACAACAGCTCTTAGTGGCAACATGAATCTTCACTGAAATAAAAACTGATAGTTTTTGCCTTTTTGCTTTTTTCACACTTGCCTGCTACGCGTTCCTGATTAAGCGTTTGTAACAGGGCATAAACTTATTCGTTCAGTCACCTGCTTTTTGCATCAACACTTTTCTTTATTAATATATACCCTAAAGGCCCATTCAGGCATTACACAGGGGGTTTTAGTTATACAATAAATTTGCAAATCAGAACATTGCCATTATAAAATTAAAGTGGTAAACAAAGTAAAATACAGTTCTATAGACAAAGATGCAAAAGGAAAAAAAAATTGTGGCAGGAATGAAAACTCGATAAGAGAGACACAACTATAGTGCGAAAAAAATATATATACAGAACATTGCCATGAAAAAAATTGCCCCCTATCTGCATATTAGACTAAAAATGTCGTCGAAAGACTATTGTATTTCGCCTGAAAAGAGTGAATAGACAGAAATATTTATTTGATGTTTTGCACGAGAAAACTGGTGAATGGGATTCCAGGAGCTGTTGCGTGAGACATGAGCGCCATCTGGCGGTAATTTCAGAAAACGAAAGGATGGCCTTTGCTATAGCGAGCACGCAGCATGCGTGCAATCTTGGAGGCCATATTTTGTAGATTTCAAGACAGGTAGCAGCACAGTATCGTCTTAGCAAAGCGTAGGAGACTCGCCTTTTCGTGCGAAGCCTCGCATTGTCAGCTGCAGTGCTTAGAATTACTTCTTTATACCTTTTCTAGTATAAATAAACACAGTGCACAATATCGACGTGTTGATATTGTCCCTCAAATATGCTCAATATTTGCTTTTTATTGACAATCGTACAAGTATGAACGCAGAGACTTCAGCAATACTGGTGGATGCTGTGGATGTGGTCGTACTTGAGCCCTTTTGCTGACAGACAGACCAAAATTTTTGCGTTGGAGTATCCCAAGCAAGACTATCATCTTTAAGGAGCAAATATATTTACAAAGAAAGAAGAATAAAAATAAGCACATACATGCACTTACAAACTCACACAGATAGGTAAGTCATATGTCCAAGAAAATATTGAATTGGTTTACAAAGGCGGCATGATCAATTAATCAAGTGATTTCGCCCGGCAGTGTGTTCCAGTGATGTGTGCTTCGAAGTAATGGTGAGTGTTGATACATAATTGTGCGTGCCAAAAAAGGCTGTATTTTGAACTGGTGATCAATATGTTTCAAAATATTATGAGGTGTGTTTGTACAAGCTTCATGAAGGCACATTTACTATAATAAAATGTATCAAAATGCAACAAGAGTGACGACAGTCTGCGTTTTTCAAGAAGGGGTAATGAAAGTGAGTGTGTAATATCTGTAGTGCTGCAGTTGCGAGAATGCTACTTGGTGATAAATCCTGCTGCTTCATTTTGTATTGATTCTAGTTAATCGATGAGATATGATTGATGTGGGTTCCAGATAATGGATGCATATTCTATCTTTGAACGGACAAGTGTATTGTGTGCTAGCATTTTAGAGGTATAGTTCACTAAGTAAAGGTTTCTTTTAATAAATTTAAGTGCTTTTGACACCTCACTAGTTATGATATCGATGCACTTATTCTAAGGCAGGTCAGAAGATAAATGAATTCCAAGATATTTAAATAGGGATACTTTTTCGATGGGGAGAGCTTGAATTTAATATTGACTCATTTCTGTTTTATGTGCTCGTGTAAACGTCATGGCCTTCGTTTTGGAAGTGTTAATTTGCCATGGTGACAGCAAAATGCGAGTTTATTAGGGTTCAACTATAATGACTCGTTAGCTTGGGTGCTGTCAATTTTTCTATAAATGATGTAGTTGTATGTAAATAATTTGATAGTAGATGACAAACCATGTCCAATGTCGTTGATGTAAATGAGAAACAAAACTGGTCCCATAATTTATCCCTGGGTAACACCAGGCTTTGCATGTGAAAGTGAAGATGCATGTCCATTCACATAAATTTATTGGCTGCAGTTGCTCAGACAATAATTTATTCAGCTTTTTTCCAAACCAGTGGCTACCTCATCATTATACACAGAGCCATCTAGAGTTGAAAAGAAGCCTTCCTTGTCAGCAACCAAAGCATGCAACTTAGCTTCCAAATACGTCTCAGACAGCATGAACACCGTTGTGAGGAGTGACCAGGCTATGTACAACAAAGGCAAGCTCAAAAAGCCAGTGGGCTTTTTTTGTGAAGCTAAGTTGCGTGTTTTGGTTACCTTCATGCTACCTTCATTTACGTACTCTTCTAGGAACATAATGGTAAAAAATACTCATGAATTTAATAACACCATCTCAAAGAAATGAAATGAGAAGAGAGTGTGCTACTCTTGAAATATCTGCAATAAGTGCATAGCTGGAGGACGTTTGCAGCTGCATCGCCAATAATAATAATAATAGCAGTAATATTATACAAGGCAAGACATAGCCCAGGAAACCTCTTGTGATGGCAGTTCTAACATAAGCACCTAACTAAAAGGCCTTCAAGCCAAGCCGAATTTGTGGCCACGACAAATATGCACAAATTTACCGATGTGAGAAATGCTGTGCTTGGAAAGTCAGATATAGTATGTGATATGTAGAAGGAACATACATCACAATAGTGCATGTACCAACATGGAAGCTAAGGAATGCTTTAGTCAATGGGAAGAATAAGCTGCCGAGCGGAAATTTCTGTAGTCGTCTTTACACTGTAGTCTGCCACGAGTGTGACATGTCAGTCTATGAGACCTGTGATTACAATGAAACAATTAAACAACACAACAGTTCAAAATGAAGTCACCAAATCATGGATGGCCTTGAATGCCCTCGCTGAACATGTGGAATATACAGGCTTTCAAATTGACTGGTCAAGCAACCGTGTTCCTGTCGAAGAAAACAAGCTTGCATCATGCCAGCACCTCGAATCCCTGCACATTCACACAGTTGCACATATCCTCAATAAGATATATGGAACGCTGACCATATACTTTTGGTGCTTACATCACGCACCTAGTCATACTTAAACACGATGTACCTTTTTTATGGCTGTCATTCAGAACAATATCAGGTGCCCAAACTTTGTGTTATTTTGGTCGGTGTATCCTTTCGTTTGTACACTAAGAAGAAACAGTTATGCATTGCCCTTTTTTTTAGGCCTCTTCTAGCTGTTCACTGTAGTTGCAGTCGAAAGAGTGACTTTTTGAGTATTGATCAAGGGTAATGCTTATTTTTGTGATGGTGGCACAGACTGCCGCCAGTTTCCATGAATTAGCCAGGTTTTACCAAAGTTCCTCCAGTTTTCCAGCAAAGCCCCAATTCCCCGACTGTCCCAGGTTGGTAGACACCCTGCACAAACAAAATAGATGGCAGTTAACTCGCGTCCTGTGTTTCCTGTCTTATGCAAGTGTCATTCTGCACTTTATTACCTTAGAAGTACTTGTTGTTGGGCAGGTTGGTATAACAATATTAGAGAAAATTCTAGACGACGCGAATGTGTGGTGCAGTGTAAATATTTTCTGTAGTTCAGCTGCGACTGACGCTCTTTTTCTGTGCTTTTTCATATTTCCAGTGGTGCTTAGGCATCTATAATTCTCCCCCTTAGCTTAATTACCTTTCTGAAGCTATGCATCATCTTGCTCATTAGCAACCATTGTTAAACTATTGTATGTGGCATTGTTGATGCAAAATGACTTTAGAGTATATGCTAAAGCTCCTGCAGGATCACCGGCTGAATGTGACAACCAGTTCACCATTTATAGGACCCGAAGTATTGACATTTTCAATATATCTGTTCGCACAGTGCTTCATTGGAGTCATGCAAGCTTAAAATATGGTGCTCCCACAGAGAAATTTTTCTTCCTGTGCTGTGACCAACGGGAAAACTATGTAGACATTAACAAAAAGAGATCACAACTAGGCTTAGCTGTGTGATGTCTGCCTCGATAAAAATGTAATAAATTAATGCAAGTGTTCTTATATTACCATGGTGTTGCCAGTTTATTACTACATTTGATATGAACCTCTGCTCGCTCCACCATGGTGTTCCTAAGGGTCTACACAGTCTTACCTCTAAGACAGCATCGCCAGAACTAATTTCACTGTCACAATCTTGAAAAGGTGTGCGACAAGCATGCGCCAGTGCAGAGAACACAAGAGAAGTGGTCACTGCTTACATGTTCAAGGTCGTATGCACGCACACAGGACTATGATTTTGCAGTGTCCTACATTTTGAGTGGAGTACACATCGTGGTGGCGGGAGCCTATCTCTGTGGTCACCAGCTAGACAATCACAATGTGCATATTGTTGCTTGAGACAACTGTTTAGGACAAAAAAAGGGCACCGTAGAAAAAAATATTTTTAGGCTAATGTAAGGGCTTGTGGTGAGGAGACTCTCAAAAGGTATATGGTGTGTCATCTTGCAATAGAGAAGCAACATTTATACCTAGTTTATGTTACTAGGAGTCTGCTAAACATTGGCCATACAAGCTTGTGGCTAGAGAAGGATGATGTCCAGAAGATACCCTCCTGAAATGTTAACCTGCACCGTCCTCCCTTGCTCTTCTTGGTGCACTGGACTTTTTGCCCTATAGGTACTAATTCCATCTTGAAGGGCTTCTGAATAAGCTCACTCTTACCACCTGCTTTACCCAAGGGCAAATCCTACTGTTGGAACTTGTTTGCTTGGCAGAAATTTTTAACAGGAAAAGAAGCTTCACTCGTTACACAAATAAAGCTACAGCATTTCAAGATTACTATGATGTTATGTACACAGACCTCCCACATACAACTCACTAAAATGTCACCACTTACCTCTATGGTGAGCCTGATTATGCCTTAAGACAGCATGTAAGTTTCTTGATCCTATACTTTTTAATCAGTACATGAACCTTGAAAAAACAAGATCATCACGTGCAGTGCATAAAACCAGTGCTTATGAAGTGCAATGATGCCATCGGAAGCATCAGCAAAAGTAAATTCACCCTGCTAGATAGGAAATTCTGCGTTAGGCCTGTAAATGTACTGTTAACAAAGTCTTCTCGACAACTTCATTACTTTTTTCTACTTCTGCAATTCGCATAATCCTGTCTCATGCATACCTTGCTGTCAACCCAAAAATTATTGACCTATGAGGTGTTACTCATGTGACCATGCTCATTTAACATACCTGCAAGCCTCAGAGTTAACATGATAAAATTGAAGACTTTAATAAATTAATGCTCTCTGCTACCCACCCCTTCAAAAAAAATTTTTAGCATCCCCTTCAAACCTGTTTTTTTAAAGACTCAGCAGGCACAGTGACATGACTCATGAAAGGCATATCCTGAGCTTGTGGTGCAACTAAAATCTTTTTGGAGCAGCATAAAAGCCGCCTGAAGCTTTTAAGCTATAGCTGCTGCACCACATGTTACAGGGAACTAGTTCATGAACATATGCATGCATGTTCACTTGGACACTTGCTCAACATGAAGGTAGGCTTTTTGCTTTTTTGTAGACATCCCCAATTTATATCAAGCTACCTAGCGCTTTCCGGAATTCACATGGCATTTGTAAATGACTCTGGCTTTCAGTGATAGTTTAGCTACAATATTTAAGCACGAACTGGTAAGACTATTTATGCATTGCATTTACTTTCCAAAAAAAAAGAGTCTGATTATTTAATGCTTTTATTAGTACAACCTAATCATTCAATGTGTGGAGAAGTGATTGCTGTCATCGTTTATGTACAGAATTGTTAGGTTTCTGATTAATGAGCACTTCATAAAGAAAGGGTTTTGTAACTGGTCCTTACTGCCCATTATTTATTATGGCTCGACAAAATTTAGAGTTATGGGGGAGTAAGTAGCTACCCTTGGCAAACTGTTTGACATGTACAGTTGTCGAAGTCGAGAAGCCCAGCCGAGACATACTGGAATAGTGGAACACCATGCTTTCTAGGAGAAGTAACAGAGATTGTACAGCATGCGGTACTGCTGATAAAATTTGCCCACTGTATGGACTTAAAACTTAACCACCTTGTATGGAATATTTTGAAAGTAACCTGTAACAAATAGGACCACAAATAAAAAAAATAACTAAGTGGTCAGTTCTATATGCAGGTACTAAATTACTGTATTTTAATACAATAAAGCAAGGCTGTTGTCCAAGCACAACTAGCTCATCATTACTTTTATCTGACAGTAACCACAACAGTTAGAAACTATTTGGCTGAAGTCACGTGGTAACTTTTGTAGTATAAGCGGGTTCAAATTGCTAAGTTGGTGCCCAGCAACGTTTTCAACTACATTGCACGTTCCTGTCCGCTGTGATGACATCTCCAAATCGCAGGGGTAACTATGAATTTCAAGCGTATGCCATATACTTGCTCCCTGAGAGAACAAAACAATGAAGAGTGCACGCATGCTTGAAAAAAATAATGAAATTTCTGAAAAAAGATGTCGCAGGTTTTGTCTCTTGGTGCAGATCCCTGCAGGCACTTACCTAATTACCACCCCATTATGCCAACAAGCAGCCCATGTAAGACGTTCGAACATGCGCTATTATGTCGGGTGATAACCAGTTTCCTCTAACCACCTTGCACTTAGTTCTGGCACGACATAGGTTTCAAAGATTTATTTCTTGCAAACTGTGCGAGTAATTGTAGACCATTCTTCAACAGTAATTTTCGTGTTTACTCGATAGGAAAACATGAGCTACAAATTTTCTAAGCTTCTAAAATATGAATGGTAATTGAATTGTGAATGGTAATCTACACACAGCCTTAGTATATATTTACTTTATAATCATTTTCAATTTGAGGCATGGCACAAATTTTGAAGTACGACTGAAGCCTCTCATATGCATGTTTCGTTTATTTGAAGGTGCCATTTAACAATCATGAATTAATCCTGCAATGAACTAAAATTTGAATGCCTTGCGAATTGCCTGCTACGAAATGTATTTTACTAGGTAAATTGTTCTGGGCTTGTTACACAAGCTGAAGATGATGACAATATTGACTGCCGCATCATCACTGATGAGGCAGAGAATAGCGCGTGTACAATTTAGGTGCACACACGAGGCCCAATGTCAGTGCTACATTTCCAATTTACAAACGAGCGCGCGCAATACGTATGCTTTACCGCAATACACAGCATGCACTTCACAGCAAGGCACGACTGCCTCGCGGCACTGTTTAATTTTAAGAAGACGCTTAAGGTGGCAATTTTGACCGAATATTTATAGTGCTCCCAGCATATCTTCAATTTGATTTCTTTTTTTTTTTTGGATATACTCACAAGAACAGACATAGCTTAGAAAACCAATTATAGTAATCGGCGACAGCATATTTAAGCCACTTGGAAAATAACGTCATGTGAACGCCTGGTAATATTCCATCGCTTCCAAATTGTGCATTTCGTATCTGTCTCATGCAGTTACGCAAGAAGAAGCTTCAATGAAAATTTTGGCGCAAGCATACACTTCACCCAAGCGACACATCGATCCTTACGCTACACACGCACTTACCAGACATACACGTACGGCATACATCCACAAATAGCATAACACACGGTGTTCATGATCGGGCAAGTCGTTACCACATTGCTTATAGACAGTATTACAGAACGAGACCACGTATCCATGCGCGGAGGCTCTCGCAAATTCATACAACTCCCGCTCAAGCAAAGACCACGGATAAATAACCACCGCACGGTAAAGATCCTCACAAGTTAGTGTGGAACCTTACGGTAGACCTTTCGTTCCTAATAAATGTCCCCAATAAATGTCCAACACGACGATTCTGTCGCCGTCTATTCATACATTTTAAGCCAAGTCAAGCCGGTTTTAAGCGGCTATTGGGTGAACTGAACCATAGACTGAACGTTTTGGCCCTCAGAAGGTTCGTGTCACTTGGTGGCAGCAGACGCGGCACAAAAAGGAAGTGTTTCGGTTCACCCGGTGGCGCCAAAAATGCTGCATTCGAAGCAATAAAGTAAGGTCAAAATAAACTTTAAAAATTTTAAATTTCTCATTATAAAATTTTGTATTGTTTTTTGACCAAAGCAATAGTCATATAATTTATACTTTCATAAGTGCATGCACTCACAGTGCAAGCGCGGCGGCAAGTGCCATCAGCATCGTCATCAGCAGCGCACCACCGCAGCGAACACAAGTCATAAGCTTTACCGGCGTGTTTTATATCCAGCACCTTTGCAATAATCATGTTGGCATGATCCACTGAATCAGCCCCATTTCTTTACAATCAAGGCAAGTATTTTGTCTTCGAATCAGCTTAACTGCTGTATTATTAACACCTTTTGCACATTTCGTTCGTTACCCTAACTAGTGTTGGCTCGCGACTGCAGCGGACAAGGAGCATGGGTGCAGTAGGCATGAAGTGCGAGAGCTACTGTACGCGGTAAGCCTTGTTACATCAATAACATTTCCATCCATCATGCAGAGGTAACCACGCTCATCTGGAACACTCGAATGACGTGCTATGAATTGCACTGTCGATGTTGGCATGCATGACCGCTTAGGACGAATTCTCCACGTGTGGAGTATCTCAAACTACCCGATCTGGAAAGTGCCAGAGCGTTCAGTTACAGCATTTTAGACTAGTGTATTAACCTCTTTACTTAAGCCATGTAGCTCATTTTTCTCTGTCATATATTTTTCTTTAGCACAGCCTGCCTGCATGATTCCCGATATAACTCGGAACAAAGAAAAAAAACTGAGCACCAGCGACCTCCTTTCTAGAAGCTGTAGCAGAACAGGCGGCAGTTTGACAACAAATACCCTCACTAGCAGAAATTGGGAGTTTTACTACAAAGCTCACTCTGCATGAGACATTTTCACGGAACTATTGCTGTCTAATAAAGGCTCTTTGTGTTTAACACCAGTTTGCTTTAAATGGATGACCATTTGCACTCAGCCGGTTAACCAGTTGGCAACCAGCCTAATTCAACTGGCTGACCAGTTGAGCACCTGTTACCTTCAATTGAATGACCACATCTATTCAATTGCTTAACCAGTTGAACACCATGTACCTTAGACTGGGCGTCTAGTTGGACACTAGTTCTCTTCAACTGGCAAACCATTCAGACGCCAGCTACCTTCAAATGGATCACTACACCTATTCCAACTGGTTAACCAATTGAAGACCACCTAGTTTTAACTGGGGAACCATTTACGATTAACTGGATTACCAGTTCACACCAGTTCACTTTAACTGGTTAGCCATTTGGGCACCAGTGAGCTTCAATTGGATGACCAATTGGTCCCCCACCTACATCAATTGGTCAACCAATCAGCCACCAGTTCTGTCTGAATGGTTATAACCAATTGGATATGAACTGGTTCACCAATGAGATATCATTGGTACATTTCCAACTGGTGGCGAAATTCTAATTGGTTGAAAACCAATTGATGTCAATTGGTATTTTTCCCATTGGACCCCTTGAACTTTTTTGACTGGGGTGGCTTGTCATTACTCATGCCCCATAAACAAGACGTCGAGAAGGGGGGGGGGGGGGGGCTTGTTAATGCACTGGGAGCAGTTAACCTGGACAGAAACAAACATTAGCATCTACGGCAAAAAAATAATAATTTGCACGCCTTACTTGAGTGACGATTATCACGGTGTCGGCAGTGACTTTCTTCACTCAAGGCTTCTACACACATAGCCAGTCATCATGAAGCTGTGGCCCTTGAGAGCCCCTTCCTCGACTTCAGCTGCTCCTGGGTAATCAAAGTCATCCTCATAACGAGAAACTTGTGATTGTCGCGAGCTGTTGACGCGGGTCCAGAAGTCCACATCACTTACACGCGAGCGACTGAGTAGTCGCCTGCGCGAACCCTGAATGGCCCCATTCAGCAAATTATCATCTCTTCTTCGTATCGCTCGAGGTCTTTTTGTCACTCTAATGGCACTTATAATGGCACTCTAATGGCACTTATAAGTACTCTAATATGGTCAGCACAAATCTACAGCAAATAAAGCCCATTTGAGAATATACGCCCAAGCATTGACTTTGCCTCTCGTACATCTAGGCCCAACATTACCAAATGAGTGGGAAGTTATATTAAAGCGCAAAAGAATTTTTTTCCTCACCACAAGCGAGCTTCACCAACAGCGCGGCAGCCTTTTTGACCATACAAAGCAACACTATGGTGCTCAGAAACGAGCAGGCCGCGCCTACCTCTGGAAACCCGCTCTCCCCGTGCGATTAGAACGGTCCATGGGATGGCCGGAAAAAAACCCGCCGCGCGCCCGCCATCTTGGAGGCCGCTGAACATAAAGATAATTTCTATAAGCATGCAGTGACCCTCATTCCACGTTGTAAGCGGAGCTGTCCTTGACATTTAAAATGTACTTCACCCCGACGAGGACTACACGATCTACGATTAACAGAGATTAACGACTAACTATGTTTCCATCGATTGGGCGGGTCGTTGCAATGATGCGTTTTCGAATACTAGTTTATTTACTGGTGCGACGAGAGGCCGTTGCTCCAAACAACCACTGTACTAGTCCTTTACTGTATTTATTTACTGCTATTACTTTTGCTTACTTTCTTCACTTGCATATATGCATGGATATGGTGAAAGGGAGAGAATCTCATCACTTCAATATATGTGTACACAATCTACTCAAACTAGCGCTGATAATCACGTCGTGAGGAAAACTGACTGCCTGTGCCCCCCCTCCCCTGAAAAACTTTCTGGCTTAGCCCCTGTTAGACTGCATCACTTGATACAAAAGTCAGTGCACCAGAAAAAAAGGCAATTAGGCGGCAACCAGGAAAAAAAAAACATTCAAGCAGTTGTAGTCTTTCATTCACACCGCGGCAAAAGGGCTAAAGCACTTCAGAGAATAGAGTAATAAAATCTCATTTTATTCAGCTCTCAATACAAAAATAATCACAGGATATGTGCACATCTAGACCAGTCCTCCACACATTGCAAAAACACCTGTAACAAAATATGCTGAGAACTGCATGAGGTAACCCAACTATTTGCATGCATTCCTACGCATGAGCAGCAAACTATGAGACAGAGATGTAAGCAAAACTCCAGTGTGAGGGCAATGAAAGTGCTAATCTGTGAAGTACAATCACAAGTAGGATGGTCACAACACATTGTGACAAAAAATACAAAACTGTGGATGCATACCAGCTCAGAGGTGATGTATTTGTATTTGTATTTATTTACCCTCACTCGCACATAGCTTCACAGAGGGCAGTGGAGTACATAAAAAAAAAAACTATAACCAAGAGCAAACATTAGTAACATCAAAATAATGCGCATGTGAACCCCCCTCCCTTCTCTTTTTTACTACAGTTGTAATGCCAAAGTGCCCAGCCACCTGAAGATAGCGCCCATATCTCATGGTCCTGCAAAGCCAAGATGAACAAATTGAGCGGCACAGAAACTAAAAATGCACTGTATGATTGAATCTTTGAGCGAGCTGAAAAAATGAACAAAGTAACACAGTGTTGCTATTTTTTCCAAAATGGCAATGCCGATCATAAAAAAATTTGCATAAAATTCTTGTAAACTGATAAGACTCTACATTGTCATGTTATTAGCCTAGAAACACTGAAGCACAGGAGAAATTTATGTTCAATCAACTGATTTTGCAGGAGGACATTAATTTTTATTTTACATTTCCCTCTACATAAAAGCTGAAGACACAGCAGCCGAAAGCACGAGAATTCACTTAATGTGACGCTCTTAAAAGGGGCCTCTGTTGAACAGGGAATTCTTCTGCGGCTTTCAAATGCTGCACATGCAAATTACAAATGCTAAGGATGTCTCCTATAACAACTCTGATGCACCTCTGATGCCGACACCAAGCAGGATCGAAGGCGGGCCACGACATGATTCCCCTCACAGCTTCATTGTTCTTTTGATTTGAAGAATTGAAAAAGTGAACACAGTGACAGTTGCACAAACGCAGGAAAAAGTAGTGTGGACAGAAGAAGCAGGAACTATCTACAGATATATTACACAAATTTGGCCACTGCATGTGTGCGCAGTGTTCAGATGACCCAAAAGAATCTAAAGGGGGAGGTCATACATGCCACGCCTGTCACGAAAAGCGGCACGGAAAATTGCTTTCCACACAATACAAACTTAAGTGCAAGTGAAACTGGCAATGTTAAGGCACTGTTACATTTAAGTAAACTATGAGGACACACAAAGCTGTTTGTTTAAAGTGGAAAAACATGTCTTTGCCTTTTTGTTTATTTAGACATGCAAACAGTACCAATTTTCAAAGATTGGGCCAGTTTTAGTTCATTTCTCCTAAAAACGAATGGGCGTAGAGAAGACATGGCTGAGCACATGAATTTCTCCGAATTTGTTTTTACCAGCCAGCCTGATATTTAAAACACTTGCAGATTTCGAACTTGGTTGGACGTTGTGTCACAGGAACTGGAGTATTGAGGGCACATAAAAAAAATGTGGCAGCTCACGTATCTCCCGAGGAGCTCATTCATTACGTGACAAATGCTCTTGACGGTTTGGCGGCCACCTTAATTGCCCTGGAACAAAACTGTGCTTGTTTATAGCACTGGAAAAATGTAATCGCCACATTATTTCATGTGGACCAATGATTGAACATGCCTTTTCAAGTCTCCAGAATGTTGCCTAAGTGATGTCATTCAGAAAATCAATTCTGAGAACACTGTTTCAGTGCCAAAACCATATTTTGTCTACACGGTAAGCAAACACACTTGCTTGACATGTCTGAAGTTCTGAAAGATTCATTCTTCCAACTTTATTGCCATATACACCTCCCGAAATTCTGCCACAATACACTGTTTTTGTTTGCTCTTGTAGCATTGTACTGCACTGTGCCTGAACTCGATGTCTGAATAATCCATACTTACTCAATAAAAAAATATTTTTGGCCACTGAAGTTTGAGAAATTCAAGGAAAAAGAGGGGGGAGGGGCAAATCTATGAAAATAAGCATTTTGGACTACACTGAGGTGTGCACATTAAAAACATTTTAATTTGTACCTCACTAAAATCCAAATAACCAGCATTTATTTTATCGTATTTTAATTTGTAGCAGTAAAATAATTTTACAAGTTGGCAGAAACTTTAGAGAAGTTTCTGATAAACCAGTTGAAGTTAAGAAGCGAGCCATTGCTTTGCTGGAAGCTAGCGACATGTGCCGACTCGCGTCTTCAGTGAAAAGAGCGAAAAAAATCGCATTAGAACCTTTTTTTTTTTTCAGCAAAAACCCATAAACTAGACATCCCCGTTCGAACAATTATTACGGAACGAAGCACATGGCAGCATGAAGTTTCAACGTTCCTCCAGTTTTACTTGTCTGCCTTGAATTTTAGGGACCCTTTTCTGGTAGAGGGTTCAAACCAGGTTGTTGACTTCTTAGCAACCAAAAAATTGTCTAACAGCAGTGGTTTTAGTATCGACGTTGTCGATTTGTTTTACTCTGTTACCCTGAGCTCATGAAGTGTGTAAAAAAATGTATCACGCAGGAAAATGACGAACTTTCATTCGTAAACAAATGTAGGATGTCGGTTGAGAGCTTCATGGAACTACTCTTTTTTTTTTATGTGAATTCTACTCTTGTATTATAGGGCGATAAGTATTACGTGCGGAAGTCTGGCATTTGTATCGGCTCTTGTGTAGCACCAATCCTGTGCGACATATTCTTAAGCTATTTTGATAGGGATTTGCAAACGGCACTAAGCAGCCTCGTAATTAATGTCTTCAGATATGTGGACGATTACCTTGTGCTCGTTCATTCACCTTCCTTGGATAAAAACCGGGACAAGATTATTGAAAACTTCGAAAAAAATGAGCATGCATTACGTTTCACCCACGAGGTTCCCTATGATAAGATATTGCAGTTTCTAGATCTTGAGTTATCTTTTCGCGCAGATCACCTATGCTGGTCCTACTCTCCCCATTCAAAGAAACCAATCTTGGACTACTCTTCTTCGCATTCTAAAGTAGTCAAATCGGGTATCGCGATTCACCTTCTCAACGAAACTATGTTTCCACAAAATGGCATGTGTTTTTTCTAATCAAATAATTAGGTTGCGAGAGGCAGGCTTTCCGTCCAATGTCCTCATTTTCGCCGCTCAGAAGGTACTGCGTATGAAAAAAGAGAAGGGATGCCCCTTAAAGGAGGCAGATAAACGACGTAAGTTTGCGGTAGTCCCATATGTGCACGACTTTTCGCATGAAATAAAAAAAATGTGCAAAAAAATTTAACCTCGACGTTGTGTTTTCCGCAAGTGAAAAACTGCAGCAAATGTGTTCTATAATTGACTTACAAAGCAGAATGAAGGCAGGTCTTGTAAAGAAAGGTTGTGTATCAAGCATATCAATTCTTTCACCAATTGTCGATCTAATGTCGTTTATTGTATTCCACTGTCTTGCGGCAGGTTATATATTGGGCAGATGGGCGCTGCTTGAATGTTCGCCTGCGAGAACACTACAATAAGCTGAATTGAGCCCCGGGTTTACATTTGTCCGCCCATTGCAATAAGTGTGGCTGCGTACCTAAATTTTCGCACACATTTGTCTTATACAGCCATCATGACACGAAAACTAGAGAGATTGTGGAAGCCTTTTTTATTAAAAAGAATATTGATAGTTGTGTTAGTTCACCCTCTATATCACTGTTAGATTGTGAAATCTCGTTTCTGGATGACACCTGATCATGGTGGACCCTTTCCCACAGTTTTTTTCCTTTCTCTTCTTTCTGGTATATAATTTATTCTCTGAATAAACTGAGTTTCAGTCTGCGCTTGTTTGTCTCTTCTCTTGTGTCTCGTTGGTTTGCGCTTAGAATCGGGGTCTGCCTAGACTCAAGTAAATATGGTATTTTATCGCTCAGCCGCATGCAAACTGTAACATTTAGCCTAATTTTTTGAAGTAAGTCTTGGGTGTTGTTAAAGTGTCTTTATATGTTAAGTAAGCCCTTATTGAGTGCTTCACTTCATGTAATTTTTTCCACTCTGCTTTTTCATTAACGGCTTCATGTTATTCTTGAAACAAACGGCCACACTCTTAATAATACTCAACCATAGAATGCGATTACCAACCCCACACACAAAATAAAAACTAAAAACCAAAAACAAAAAATAAAACGACACCGCAGGGCAAATTACTCAGATACTCACACATAGCACAGTATTAAGAGAGAGAAATAGATGCACAGGGTAAAATTTTTACAGGTGTGTATGGCAGAAAAATGATGCCACTTTTACTGAACTGTAAAAGTGTGTTTAGAGCAAGTGCTCTAAGCTGAGTAGTACTACACAGTGCAAAAAACTGCATGCTGCCATATTTTTGCTTGACAAACTTGGTTTTGGCATAAGCAACGATGTTCTTTTTCACGAATATCAATCAGACAAGATTCTGCAATATATGGCTTCCATGTGACAGTAATATTTTCTTGTCTGAAACATTCCAGGACTTCACTGTTTCCAATGCAGTAAACAAGTACAATATTCTTGGTATACAGTTGATATGGTAGCCAGAAAGGCTGGGACATTTGGCGTAGAATGACATGTAGAAGTCAGGCCAGTGTAGAGGATCTAAACTAGTCTTTTCAGCTGTGTAAACCGAATGTATTTTGACTGCCCAGATGGCTTCCAACTGCAGGGCTACTGAAATAATAGGAGGGTATTCCAAACAGTACTAAACGAGAGTCGATTACTTGAATCATCCTTTTGCTCCACTTGGCAGATAATAGTGTTCCCTTTCATCTATCACAAGGCAAATGAAACCACAGACACAGTTCTCATACTGCAATCTGCGATTGGAAATAGCTTTATCATCAGTTGATCAGAATTGAGCCAAATGGCAATCGTCGCCACATGGCCTTGGTACCATAAACGCGTATTCTTCGGAGCCACCATTAGACTCCCAGTGGATTGAGGGGCACAGCACCCCCCGCTTCGCACATGCTTTCGGCCACGGCACGCATTGTGGCGAAATTGGCCTGCTTCTCAGCTGATCGCAGAGCCCCCAAATTGGCCTGCACACGCTCACTGGCCTGCATACAAGAGGACATTTTGCTCAGCAATAGCAGGTCAAAATAACAGAGATAAAAGCACACATTTTATGGGCATGTTGGCTACTACACGGGTGGAACAGGGTACATGGGTTCGGGAGCAGTCCTGGGAGCAGACAAAAGTGCCCTTTGGTAGCAGGCGTGGAGCAGCCAGAAAAACGTTTTGGAGCAAACTTGTAGCAGGCTTGGTGCAGTCAGAGGGGCCTTTTCGAGCAAGTTTAGAGCAGTCAGAACAATTACAGCGAATGTAGCCCCATCACACAGCACTTGTAAAGCAACAATATCACACAGCACTTGTAAAGCAACAATTACCCAAAGCTACATTTCTCAAACACTCAGCTAAATTGTGCAATATTCTTATTATTGCGATAGGAATTATACGGACACTCGAAGGGTTATCCCTATGGCTGTCATGTCCCATAGAGAGTCCAAGTTGATTGCCACGAGGAATTGCTAATGCACAGTACAACGCAGATGTCGATAATAAAGAGGAACACTGATGGCACCGCTACGTCAGATAAAGCCAGCCGCAATGCGCGAGCCGACCCTACATGCACACGAGCCTCTACCGAGCGGCCAACACGCATGAAGAATAAAACAACAATGTTTGAGGCAGGGGCTGGCGAGAACTACAGACATGCTGCTTTTTCTTAACTGCTGTGCTTCTTTGGCTTTGGGCACAAGTTCACTTTTAATAAACAGTGTAAAGAGCACATCCTCTTTGCAAAGTTATTACATTTGTTAATCTTTCTGGTGGAGGTGCAGGTTAGGTGATTCCGAGCCCCACCAGAGGGCGAAGTTCAAGCACTGACCAGTCGGAAGCTGTGGAGCTTACACCGGTGCACCAACGCATCAGCCGCCATATCCGCCGTGACTCCCCAGAATTGGGCCCACTTCCCTCTGTGTTAAGGGCATTGGCAATAGAGACAAGCGGCACCACCACTATGACCAGCCGAGTTACGCTGACACAGCTCATCGTAAGCCAACCTGTTACTCCAAAGGTGTTCCACAGGCGACCCATACGAGGATGCTGAAAACTGGTTAGAAGATTTTGAGGGAGAGGGAAAGCTAAATCAGTGGAATGAGGAAGGCAAGCTGCTCAACGTCTACATATTGCGTCTGAAGACTCTGTGCGAGTGTGCTATGAAAATCACGAGGCATCTCTGATGTGGTGGCAAGAGTTTCGGCGGCAGCTACTGAGTATGCTCGACAACAGTGATCGCCGGGAAAAGGCCGAAGCAGCTCTTCATACACGAAATAAACAAATGAACGAAACTGTCACGATGTACATTAGAAGACATGTTCTGCCTTTTCAAGTGAGCTGACCTCGGCATAACAGAACACAAAAAGGTGGGTTGCCTCATGCATAGAATAAATCAAGCAAGAGCTGTTCGCGGGACTCATTCACAACCTGCCCCGAACTGTTGCTTAATTTCAGTCAGAAGCAACACAACATGACGCTACAACAGAGAGCCCGACAGTACAACAGCGACGTAGCCTGAACACCAGCAGGAGTCTACGTCACAGGCGTTAAATAATCCTGACACCTTGCGGGACCTCGTCCGGTTGGTTGTCCGGGAGGAACTACAGACACTGCAGCCACCCGACATCCCCTCAGAGCTGTTTCTAGCTGAAGTTGTCCGAGAAAAAATTCAGTAGGTCATGTGGAAGCAATGGGGTGATGTGCCAACGACATGACGGGCGGTAACATACTTTGAGGTGCTCAGGCGACCTGCTCTGCACTGTGCGCCGATCGAGAAGTCAGCTGCTTAAGTGCAGACAATGCGCAGTCTGCCTCATATCGTAGACGCAACACGCAGTGCCCCTCGTGCGACAGTGACAGCTCCACGGAAGAGCGATGTATGGCAAGACGCCACACGTAGGCCCTTGTGCTTCCACTGCGCAGAGGCTGGTCACCTGTACCGATTTTGCCTATACCGTCAATCTAGTCTTAGGGGATTGGCCATGAATGCACCATGTCCGCAAAATGGCGAGATATCATCTGAAATTGAAGAACACTTATGCTCGCTTTAGAACTTTTACCTACCTCATCATCATCAACTACGCTCACCATCCCCCAAGCGCCACCGCTCACCCAGCCAACATTACTTGCCAAGCACGCTTAGGGATTGCTCACCTAGCCCAAACCCAGGAAACTGAACAGATTGACCTGTGCAGGTTATCTGGGATATGAAGATCTTCCACTGCGATACCAGAGTCACAATGACGACGACTGTTGCCAGGTAAAGAAGTGCAATAGTGAGAAAATAACTTCAGATTTGCCATTGGTAATAGACAGACTAGAGTTAAACGCTTTAATCAATACCGGTGCAGATTAGCCCATGGTATGTTATGACTTAGCGAAGTGACATGGAAAAGCTCTCACCGAATGGAGTGGACCTCAAGTAGTTATGGCAGACCGTCACCTTTCAATGCCTCTCGGCAGATGCCCTGCAAGAGTTGGGATACGGGGCTCCACTTACGTCTGCGACTGTCGTCCTGCCCCTTTGTTCAAGGAAAGTCATACTGGGAATGAATTTACTACAACGTAATGGTGCCATTATCAATTTCCACAGGTCTAGAGTGTCATTTTCAACAAAGCAAGCTATACAGGTAGCACAAGCAGATGAGCGATACACCACTACATTGCACGTCGTCGATGATAATGCGACTGTACCGCCAAGAGCAGTGTAATGGTTGTCGTGAAGAATGATACATTTAGCAACTACGAAGGCATGGCGGACAGCAAAATGGATGTTTTCCTGAAAAGAGGCGTTTGTGTGGCACAACGGATTATCCAGCAGTGAAACGGGTGCACAGACATTCTCCTGACAAATTTCGGGAACAATTCCAGCACATCGGAAAGGAGACGACCATAGCCTTTCTTCACGAGTTTTGTGAAGTCACAGAAATATGCAGTCTTGAAATGTCGTCAATGAATATGAAAGCACCATCAGATGTCTGCGACACATTATATGTAAATCCTAACCTTCCAGAAATTTAATGTCAACAACTATACGACCTCATACAGGAATTCGGCAGCTGTTTCTCCAATAGCTCAAAGGCACGGCGCACAAGCATTACAGAACAGAAAATCATAACGGACAACACAACGAGGCTGGTACGCCAGCACTCGTATCTTGTTTCTCGAAAGTAAAGAGAAGTTATGAAAAAAAAAGGTACAAGAGATGCTTGATCATGATGTTTTCCAGCCTTCTAACAGTCTGTAGTCATCTTCCATGGTGCTTGTCAAGAAGAACAGGCAACAGTTTTGTGACAACTACCGGATATTAAATGCTGTGACTAAACAGGATGTACACCCCCTTCTGTGAATCGATTACATGTTAGATCAACTTTGATGTGCCAAGTTCTTCTCATCTTTAGATCTGAAAAGTGGATACTGGCAAATCGAAGTCGATGAGCATGATCGGGAGAAGACTGCTTTTGTTATTCCAGATGAACTTTATGAATTGAAGGCTCTTCCATTCGGTTTTTGTTGTGCACCGGCAACTTTCCAACGCATGATCGACACTGTGCTTTCCGGACTGAAGTTGCAGTGTTGCTTAGTACAGTCGAGCCCACGTATAACGGCCCCACTTAAAACGAACTTGCGCTTAAAACGAACAATATCCGCGTGACCGTGAAAATATACATTGGTTCAATGGCACAAAATCGCACTTACATCGAACGTCTCCGAGCGCCGCTGACCGGTAACAGCGAACGAAGTCAGCGGTCTGCCGACTTCCCGAGAAACCGATTTCGACCACTGATCAGGCATCGGCGAGGTGCCAATACATTCTTATTCTTAAATGCCGAGCCTGCCTCCGCGCCCCTCTAGTTGCCGCTCTCCTCAACCGCTTTTGTTACCCACCCCTCCGTCCTTTGTCCCCCTGCTACTCTGAGCACCCCCCATTGCCAGACGAGGTCCGTGTTCTCACACTGCCACCGATCTTTTGAAGACCAGTCGGCCATTTACCCTGTTTTTTGATCGCTGGTACTGTCATTGGCATTGCCAGCCTGAAGTGACCAGACCAATTGATAACATCGTCAGCCCCCGACTGTATCAGATAGTCTGAGTCTAGTGCACGAGCGTATGCTATTCCACCGACTCTGATAATTTGGGATTCATTTCGTGTTTAGGATTTGTTCTCGCCCACTTCACACTCGGCTCAGCATGCCTTACATGCGCGTGCAGAAGCGCGAAAACGGCTATTAATTTGCGCAGAACGAATCACGAAATGTCGAAGTTCGTGAGGCCACGCAAACCCGCTTGCGCAACGAAACAATTTTTTGATCTCGGCCGCCGATTCTTCGAACATTGCCACGCGCACCAATTTAGGCGGCCATGCACTCTTTCCAAGCTTTTTTACGTGCGAGTTTCGCGGACCTTTAAAGCAAGCTACCCAGCCTGCCTCCTTCCCGTGTGTTTTGGTTTTCAAGGACGCCCTCCCGCCGCATCCTCCCCTTTATCGCACAACTCCTTGCCCTTCTCTCATAAAGTCTGCTCTCCTCTCGATAACAACTTCTTCGCCCGTCTCCATAGCTCCGCGACGCCCGCCATGCTGGCTCGAATTAGTTTCGTTTTCTGACTGGATATGGGCCCAGAGCGGTTCCACGCGTTCTGGCATGTGTGTCGCGTGTGCGCGACTTGCTCGCTTTTGGTGTGCGCGTGTTCATGATGGCCGACAGGAGGACTAGCACGCTTTTTCCTGCCGCTCAACAAAACGTCGAAAGTGTGACCGCTTGGCTTGAGCGTAATCCGTGCGTTAGGTGCCTGTTGCGGAGTGCTTGCTCATAGCTGTTGACCACCTGGCAGCTAACTAGCCGCTTCGGGTGTCTCTGTATTCAGCTGTGGAGATGGTGAATATTTTGTGGGCGGCAGTGACGGCTACATGCGCGTTAAACTGTTTTCGCGAGGCCGACTTCATCGACGTCGGGCCCGACCCCGAGCCTGAAGCTTCTGAACTGCGGCGGTGATTCGTGGACGTGTGTCGTCGACTCCGACCTGGGAGAGCGGGTGGAACATCTGTTGCGATAGTTTAATTACGACAGATGATGATGCCAACACTGCAGAACCATGCATGGATTGGGGCATTGTGAATGAAGTACATGGCGAGAGCGATTTGGAGGAATCGTATTGCGAGAACGATGAAATTTTGGAGCCAGAGCCTCATGCAGCTTATGCCACGGGCCTTGGCGATCAAGCACCCTGCCAATTTAAATGTACTCGAGACCGCCCTTATCGCTTCTGTTCTTCGAAACACATGCATCACAGGACTTTTTGGAACAAAAAATTTCGCGTTTTCACTCGCAACTTTTCTTAAAAACTGTGCTTCATTTACTACGAACTTTGGGATACAGCGAACGGATGCCGCATCACACTCAGGTTCGTTATAAGCGGGCTCGATTATATACCTAGACGACGTGGTCAACTTTGCCTGCTACATTTGAGGAGAACATCAAGCACCAGCAGTCAGTGTTAGAGGCAATCCATTTGGCAGATTTGACAATCAAGCCAGTGAAGTGCCAATTCGGTTTCAAGAACTTCGATTTTTCGGGCATGTTGTCAGTGTCCAAGGTGTTCACCCTGATCCCAATAAGATGGCTGCCGTCAGCGAGGTTTCCAGTGCCAACAGACAAAAACTAAGTACGGAGATTTCTAAGGTTACTATAGACGATTTATCATAAATTTCTCGAAAATCGCAGAGCCCTTACGAAACTTACAAGAGAAGACGTGCCTTTTCAGTGGCGAAATGAGCAACAAAACGCCTTCAACGAGCACTCCAATGACCGTTCAGAAACAACTAAACGCGTTGAATTCGGGCACGCATACACATAATGCCAAAGCGATTAAGTAGATACATGTGCAAATTATCTTATAATCAGAGGTACAAATGTTTTATCATGCCCAAATTGCCCCTTTGCAGTTGCATTCTTTATCCATCTCTCATTTCTTGTGCGTTGAACTGTTTCATTATGCATCCTCAAATGTTGTGTTAACGATTGTCCTCCACTTGTATATATTGCAAATGGGGACATGTGCGTGTCCGTTATCTCAGTGTACACCAAAAGGCAAAACTGAGGCGTCCAAAATAGCTCCAGCAATTGCAGAGACCACCATCAATAAACACATTATGGTGGTCACAACCAACATTTTGCGATTTACTTGCTTGACGCACGTGTTAGCTAAATGAGCCTTCATAGCATACATGCTTGATGCTGTGTGGCGGTGACCAGTAAAGAATACAAGTGGTCATCGACTGCGCGATGTTTATTGCGCTCGTCACCAGTCTGTATTTCACTGTTGCACGATACGCATACAGAGCTTCATAGTCAAGGGTGCCACAGTTCTCAGTCAAGGCTACTCAGAACAATAACAGGATACCACCATTATCACACTTTCTCATGAAAATGGCTGTGGAGAACACGAGTACTTTGCTTAGTCAAGATATTCGCAACGGACTGTATCCAGTACTCTTGTTGTTTTGCTTCGTCCAACAGCTCCAGAAATCTGCATCAGCAAAGTCAATTACGTCCATGGCAATTCACAATCCAACAGTAGAGTAGATCGAGGGCCTCTCTTTGTAGTGCACAGAGCTGTTGCGTCTGCTGATGTTTTTGTCGTCGTTTTGGCGACAAATACAGCAAGCACGTCATGGCGGTTCAGTTATGTGTCCCACTATTGGAGAGAAATTCATAGCTCTTTTTCTGAGTGTTCAATGTGAAAGCATGCCTAATAATCAGCTTAGTCATCGTTTCCGCACTCTCTGGTTGCACTGCAAGCTGTGCAAGGGAGTCTGACTTAGCACTACCCAAAACTGCTCTGACAAGTGGGGCTATGTGTCTGCAAAACTCTAGAGCCGAACTCCTATAGTACGTTAGCTTGGCAGCCATCAGCGGGCGATTCTCGTACCTTTCCACATGCTGCACTTTCACTGCTCTTATCACGAAGAAACTGCGTGAAAAGTGTTGCTCTCTCTGAGTGGCCGTATTCTCGTACATGAGCATTTTGTAGAGCTGCGTGAGATCACATCTAAAAGAGTTCACTGCCAGCCTAACTTTGCATAACATAACAATTTATTGCTATTGCATGCACTCTTTGCCTTTGTGATGCAACTGTGACTTTTTAACTATGTACAGCCGCCCCCTTTTTATTATTTATAACCTGACAGCACAGGCGTCAATTGCGAAGCCAAGAAGCACTGTATAATGGACCGTATAAGCACAGCGGCCAAATGAACGAGAATACAAGCATACGCTCAATGAACAGTCCTGTGCACTGTCTTTGCTTGGCTGCCACCACCCTCGGTTCTTTTGAGGACAGTTATTGCATGTCATCCTTTTTTTTCTTTTTTTCAACACTGCCAACAAGCTATGTAAAAAAACAGTTTCAGCAGAACGGCGGAGCAATAAATGCAATAGCAACAAATTGTAAGGCTGCCAGCCCACTCTTTAGATTCATTATTGCACAACTCTACAAAACATGGATGTAAGAGAATACGGCCAAAGAAAGATGCACTTTTTACAGTCTCTTCGCGTTGAGAGAGCAGCATGCATAGAAGTATTCATGAGCTATTTTAGTGCACAGCGATCACAACAGTGCTGTAGTCCACGCCCTTGGAATCGAGGTTTACTGCTGCTGCTGAGCCTTTATGAAACTGAAACTACAACCATTTAGCTGAATCTAAAGTAAGCATATTTTGTAAATAGTATGCTTCTGGGCATGCTGCTTAATGGCTTTCGCACGTTGCGGCTACATTCATGTCGTGCAGTGCAGTAAGGTGCTGATAAGTGAGCTTGGCGCAGCAGGGGTGGTTCGGCGCAGGATAATGCAGGTAAATAAATTTGGCAAATAATAACGCAAATGGTGCAGCTGTTCCACGCCTCCTACTACAAGGGCCATCCTTCAATGCACAGGAATCACTACGTGGAGAAATATTCACTATTCCTGCACAAATATTGTATCTCTCTGTCAAGTCTTTGAGATACCAACAATGGGGGCCGAAAATATGATGATAATATGTGATGATATGTGGGGTTTGACGTCCCAAAACTACCATTTGATTATGAGAGGTGCCGTAGTGGAGGGCTCCAAAAATTTCAACCACCTGGGGTTCTTTAACGTGCACCCAAATCTGAGGACACGGGCCTACAACATTTCCGCCTCCATCGGAAATGCAGCCGCTGCATCCGGGATTCGATCCCGCCACCTCCGGGTCAGCAGCCGAGTACCTTAGCCATTAGACCACCGCGGCGGGGCGGGGGCCCAAAAATACTTCAATATAAAGGGTTTTGTAATATACGGCTTCAGATTTCAACTTGGCAGATTGTTTGGCATGTGCAAGTACTGAAGTAACTAGCTGCAACTGCAGAAAGCATATTGTTCTTTTATCCTGAGCAGTGCAACATTTTGCAGAAAACTCCCTGCCACTGTCGACGCACTAAGAAAGCCGGACTTTGAAACTTGCTCAAAGAAACTCAATGCAAGAAATGTGAGCATGTGATGTGAAGGTACAAGACTAATGAGCAAAGTGTCAACCCAAGTGGGCCACAAAAGGAGGAAGAAGAACGAGTACTACCTCGCTGCAAATGAGCTGGGCCAGCAGGGCCTCGTGCTCAGCCGAGGGTAGCGACTTCTCCAAGGCACGGCTCGCTCGGGACAACACCGCCACCATGGCATACACGTCTATGGCACTGTAGGCCAGCCGAATCAACAGGAACTGCTCGTCTGCAACAAAAGAAGCACACTTTGCTGCATCCGCTCGGTCACCTCAAGCAAGCACGGCAAATTTGAATTCAGCTTGACATTGAACGACAAAAGTGTCATATTAGCGTCCAATGCAGATAACTTCCTTCACCTGTGAACCACTTCAAACCCATTACTATTCCAGACCCCCTTAAATACACTAAGCCAGCCATGAAGTACCACCACTTCCATCATCATAAACCACTTCCATCATTATAAACACCCCAGAATTCGGGCAAGGAAACAAGTGTAAACTCATGTGCTTGGTTTTTCAGTCAGACCCTGATGCCAAGGATAGCATAGGAAATGCAGTTAGAAGCACCAACTGCAAAGTAAATGTGAAGAAATAAATGCAGACTAAAAGATCACTCGCCATAGAAAGTTCCTGCTGGTGAACGCAAGCTATCTACTTTTCTTTCTTCACATTCACATAGCAGCTAGTACTCTAATGACATCCTCTATGCAGTGGTAGGAGTGACTTCTTACTTTTTTAAACAGCATTCGGAGCAGATAAAGTACTATGCTTTGGAGCACTTATAAATGTTTTCGTAGGAGGAAAAAAATGCTAGTTTGGAGCAGCTACTGGTGTTTTACTAGCAAATCGCTAATTATGTTATACAACTCTTATCATTCAAAGCATCACCGAAGTGTCACATAAATATTATTATTTACTGTAAAAGCTAATTCACAGCCTACAATCAACATAAATTACAAGAAACAAATCATTAGGTTGCAAATAAATAGGAAGAAACTGTCGATTCGTTTCGCACATGCGTGGTGTACTCCGACCTGTCTTCAATATATTCCAAAAATGATGCTTCAGAAGTTTACAATAAATTCCTGTTATCTTTCGTCGCATGTACAACAGATTCTTTCCATACGAACACTAAAACTGGAAAAAAAAAAAAAAACAGTGGATCCATCCTGAACATACAAAAATGATCAATTCAAAAAAATAGTTAATTGGGAAATTTTTTGATCGTACATATCCTCGGACCTTGCAAGATTCAGGAAATACAGAGAAAAATTAAACAAAAATCTCAAAAAAGCTAAGAATTCCCATAATCACCACCTGTTTTATGATGTCCAGAAGAAAGCACACATAACTTGAAGACGACGTGCTCAATTAAAAGTCCAGATTCTCTCATGTTGGAAATAACTTTAGGCAGTATTAAAATCTCTGGCACTTTCTTGGCCAATGAATTCAACCAGTATTTCACGAACGTGGTGCCAGCTGCACTGGTTCATACAGACGCGGAGATCAAAGGTAAGTGCCCGCAAACTATATTTTTAGAGCCAACAGATAATGAAGAAGTTTGCCGCAAATTTTTCAAACTGAAAAATAGTAAAAAAACTGATATCGATGGGTTCCAAGTTATTCCTGTAAAATATGTGATTGATAATATGCACCCCACTTAGCATACATATATAATTTGGTCTTAGAATGTGGTTCTTTCTCTCGTGCAACGAAAACAGCCAAGATAAAAATGACTTGAGTAATTACAGGCCGATCTCAATACTGTCAATATTTTCCAAGGGTCTGGAAAAAATTTTCTCTCATCTTAAGGGGGGACGCGGCTTTGGGATCGCGAAAAATGGCAAAAAAATCGATTTTTTGAAACTCAAGTTTTCAGTTTCTGGAACCCTTTTTCTATCTGGTTCCAAAAATATCTACACTGAAAACCGCGCAGAAGTGCTTCGGAAAATTCGTTTGACCCACCTAGGTAGCAAAAATATTTCTAGAAATGGCGAGAAAACGGCGATTTTCAAAAAATAATAGCTTCGCTATGCTTGGGCCGGGAGCCGGCTTCTTGGGCTCATCGGAAAGAGCATTTTCCCGTGTTTAACTTTCCCGCCTCAGCTGGCTCCTCCCTTTAACAACAAGCGAGCAAAAAGCAAATGTTTGAAGGTCGTTTTGAGGCCCTTGATTGGCCGTGGCCGCCATGTTGCCTCAGCTCGCCTCGCCATTGGCCCGATGCTCGCTCCGGGAGATCGTCGTCTGCTGCTTATGCGTCGCGAGGACATGGCTCTCGAAAATCGCCACTTCGTGACGTGTTCACGGCTTGATAATCACTTAAGATATAACTACGCTTTAGTTACGAGCAGTAAGCGGATGCGCGATCAGGTTACTACGAGCGTCAGCGCGGTCTACGAGCGCCGCGCGTCATTGGAGTCGTCTTTAGCCCTACCTCCGCCGACTGCGGGCAGGAACGACCCGCTAGCGCATTCGTGGCGACGTGTTTCTTCGCAAGCAACGAAGCTGTAAGCGGCGGCATGATCTGATTATACGAGTGGCCGCACCGGATGCACGATCAGATTACTACGAGCGGGCGCGCGGCGGTCTACGAGTGCGGCGCGTCATCGGAGTCGGCTTTAGGCCTAACTCCGCTGACAGCGAGACTGCGGGCAGGAACGACGCGCAAGCGCACTCTTGGTGACGTGCTTCTTCGCAAGGAATGTACCACATCACTCGCTAGCTCCTCCGAATATTGTACGGGCATTTTACGCATCGGCAGCGGACAACACAGTCAAGTTCGTCACCCCCCCCCCCCCCCCCTCACTGCCAAGGATCGCTCGGAACAGCGGCTAGCAGTTTCGCGCGTCGTCATTCGAAAATGCGATGCCAAGTGCAGTGCGTGCCGATTTTTTGTCTTCGTAGTTACACATTTCGCGCATCGTCATCGAACGCCGCCGGCAAGTGCATTACGCGCCGGCTGCACTGTCCACGCGGCCGCGCACCCCACAGTCATATGGAGTGCCGTCAGTAAGCTTTTGTGATGCGATTCAGACGTGCTTGGAGCCGTGCTTGATATCTCCACGAACGTCTATGAATGTTCCGAGGTTAATGAATTGCTGTAGATTAGAATTTCCGCGACCGGCTGTATGATGATGCGTTTGACGGCTAGAGCGGCGAAAGAGCATGTGTGAATCAGGGGCACGAATTTTTATATGCCCGTTTCGTGTCATTAATTATACTGCTAGAAATTCCCGTGCCACCAGTCTTCTGCCCATAACTTTGTTATTTGGAAAGAAGGCATAGGCCGTCATGGTGTGATCCATTTTTCTGATGCAATAAACTTCTCTCCAAATAAAAAAAAGTTCAGTGAATATTTGTAATCAAGTACTTAATTACGCTAATTACAACTTCAGCACAAAAAAGTATGTTTAATAATTTCAGTATATGGTTTTATTCAATTACAATCTTTTCTGTCATACTTATCACACCACTCCTTCATACAAAGAACTTGGTTTGAAATTCATTCTTGTTCTTTGTAACTCATGAAAAGGAGTAAATCATGAAAAGAAGTCAAATATCACAAGACAAACCTGAGATCACAATTTTTAGGTGTCTTAGAGACGTAAAGAAAAGTTGAAACTTTAAACGCAGCTTTCTCAATACTGTTTTTTTTTTTTTTTTTGACATTATGCTCAGCCCCTCCACATGGTTCAGTGAAGAAATAATTTGTTTCTCGTAAAGTATTTGTGGTATCGCTTCAAAATTTTTATGAAAGCACTGTGAGGTTATTCTTAGTGTCTGTGCCAATTTTCATCAATATCCAACGAGAAACAAAAAAGTTCATTGAAAAAAAGTCTGTCGAAAACTTCGACAGGCTTTTTCTCACAAGTGTGTTTTGGACATTGTGCATTGCTCGTGGAAAGAGTAGCACGAGAATGACTGGACCGATTTTGATTCTGTTTTTTTTCCCTGAATCCCTGAACACTGCTTGTGGGTACAGCAATCTTCAATTTCTGTTTTGTGGCCCTGTTATTTTTCTAGACGATGATTTGTCCGTGCCATTGTTTCTGACAATGTGTGTCGGCAGCCATGATGATCTCTAAAAAAAAAACGAGAACTTATTAAAAAAATTCCGAGAGTGTCATACCCTGTAGCTTTCTTTTGAGTAAAGATCAACATCATTCGCAGCTTCCTGGCATGTTTTGTTGCAGCGCTAGGCTTTCCACGAGCAGACCATGTAATTGGATCGTGTAGCATTATGTAATTTGAGAACTACAGAAGCTATCATGATGAAACTGCATATTTCCCTATTCTAGACATTTATGAGTATGCATGCCAAATTTCATTGCTGTAGGTCAACAAATAAAAAAGTTTTTTTTGAAAGCCACCTCCCCCCTTAATAGCTTCTTCATGAAACGTAATGCTCTAAACGCATAGAGTTTCATACAATATTACCTAGAGAGGAATCTGGCACTTTGATCGTGTACCTCCATGGGAATTATGGGAAGTACAGGCTTCGGATTGGATAGGGTGGGCTAGTGAACTGTCTGCAGACTTTTTTTACAGTTTCAGTTTCGTTCGTTGCACAGCGCGGGTAGCGGGGTGCAGTGAAAAACACTGAAACAACGCCATGGTTGTTCAAAGAGGCTGAAGGCCACTAGGTCTGAAATTTGCTGCGACGTTGAAGCTTTACGAGTCATATCTGACAGTTTAAACGAAGCCTCGTCCACTCATTCGATGTGCACAGATGTAGCGTCTCATGCCAGTGAACCATATTGCATCAAGTTCGTGTTTTTTCACGAGTGCGTCTTGCCTACACTCATTTTAAATTGACTGCACAACGACGACAAAGCTAAGTAGATGCACCGTCACGCCCTGCTGACTCGACTTAACAACAAAACCAGAGGTGTGTTGGAACACACTTGGGCAGATGCACCTGGCATCACTGCAGACGAAAATTTAAGCATTTCTCACTTAATACTGTACTGTTATTTCAATAAATAAATATTGCATATTTTTGAGGGCAAAACAAGAATATTTGCTTTCAAATGTAAAAAAAATAATTCACTACATCTTGATGCCAAATCTTGAACACAATGGCAGAACAATGCATACCCTGATGATTAAATTTACCCATGTTTCATTTTTGCCACCTCATCCATCATGAAAAGTTTTTGCAATAAAGTTTGTGTACAATGAAATGAACCAAGTTTCAATTAAAAATAAGTTTAGGTTATTTTATTAT